TTTTCCATCTCAAAAATTGACTCGTCTGCTTCCCATATAATGAAACTGACTATCTTTCCGCCTCATACGATATTCATCTCAAATCTCTTTTCGTTCCTTCGGAAGTTTATCAAAAATTATGAAATTGTCCGTTTGGTTACCCAGGATTCTTACTACTTTGCTTATGTTATTTAGACTTCGCCTTATTATCTGTCACTCGAAAATCACTCATTGTTTAAAAGAATTTTTCTTCGTTTAGCATGTGAGACATGAACGATTTCGTGCCGCTGATCCGTTGCTAACGATACGACGTTTGTTGATTGGTGAGGCGATCACAATGGATTTGTATCGTAGTAAACGAGAGAAATTGGAATTACTCGATGAGGCGTTGAGATCATTCGATGGGAATGCTATCACTGCGGTATATTTTTTTATCTCTTTGCGATTCCTCACATTTCTGAATGGAGTTATTAACCCAGACCACGCCAGGTTAAGGCGAGTTTAAAATTCCTTAATAATGAACTTCATAAACTGTATAGTAGTAGCTGAATTTTCAGGTGATTCTCTTCCTAAGACGTTCATTATCGGAATCTCTTTTTCGAGAGATTTTGTTGGAAAAAAGTGTGGCCGCTGATCATTATGTTGCGTATTTGAAAGAAGTTGAAGATTTCGATCAGTTAGCAACAACACTTTTGTATGTGCATTCAATGTTGTCTTGTCAGATTGAATGTGAGCGAGAAGAAGTTTTCATTGATTGATGAGAATCTGTGATATTTTTAATCAGTAATATTGGATTGCTTCATCTGCTGCTTGAAATTCGAAAAAAAAAAAGACTATAATAAGTGACGGTATCCATATCAGTTGTTCAAATTTACCATTGGAAACGATGTCATACTTTTAAGAAATAGATTTCTTCGAACAAAGAAAAATTGCTTCAGGTGAATAATTATTGCTGGAAAGGTAGAAAATTTGAGTGGGTATAGAAAATTGATGAATTTAATTGAAGTGCATTGGGACGTAGCGATGAAGCGGCCATGTTGGAGTATTCGNCGATGTTTGTTTCGATCTCATGAATAATTTCTCAGTTTCTATCCTCTCATCTAACATTCGCATCTCCTATTTCACCACCGTTGATTGCTCTAAATTTAAGGCAGCAGATGAATCAGGAATAAAAATGGGTCGTTTGGATGTATTCAAAGAATTCCCGAAATCGATCTCGTTGATCGGTCAACCGCTTCTGTCAACATTGTATTATTGTTGTCTATATCATTACGACCTTCCAGTGGTTTGTTTTAATCCATTTGAACATTGTTTAACGTTTTTTTTGGAACCATTGATAATGTTCAGAAATAGTTCAATTACTGAATAAATGAAAGAACATTTAGTTGTTGAATTTGTTGAGTTGTTGTTCTGGGGTTTTTTGTTTCATTTTCTTATGCATTTTATTTTTCAAAAACTCTGAAGTTTACTCCTGATCATTGCAGAACGCTTTCGCGAGTCCATTATCGCTGAAGGAGGTGTTCCAAATTTGCGAAAAACAGTACGTTTGGATGGCTGTTTCGGCGTTGAGTCGTACGAACAGGTTTTTTTTTGATTTTCACTTTTGCATTCATTGTAGTCGTTTCCTGCTGAATCTGTGCTTGTCTTCAAAATTGACGAATGAATATTCTGGTGTTCATTTGATCGATTATTGTAACAACGGGATTAATGTGGACTGGATAATACTTACAGTTATTATCATTATTATTCTTCTGTTGCTTTGTTAAATGACACTTTTTGGATGTCTTTTAAAGGTGGACTGATATTGAACGACTGCTGACCAGTAAAAAACTATTGGGTGGAAGCAAAATTGTGTGTCCTTTTGGTTGGCGGCGACTATTCGATCTTCTGACAGCCGATCGCCTTCCTCCCAAAGATGTAATTTTTCTGTTTTTAATTAGAATTCTGCTCAATTTCTTTCATCGTCTTCGCAAAATACTATTTGTTTGCTCACACTCAAATCAAAAGTAGCTAGTGTTTCAAGTTCGAAGAAATAATCTGCCAATTATCCGGAATTTTACAATTTGATTATGCCCCGGTTTGAAGCCCAAAGGCGAATCAGCTGCTGAGACGGGAAGATTTGGTGTTAGTCTCTTGGTTCGGCCATGGTAACTTCAAGCAGATGTTTACTGTTATTCATGGAAATGAGTTTGTTGCTCTGTGTCTTTAATGATGAGANTAACCAAACTCACACCGCACACACCTGAAGCTTACAAAGCACTGAACGCTCTCAATAATACGGTATGTTCATTCATATCATTATTTCCATTCTCGGAGTCATATTGAGATTGTGCAGATTTGTGGTGTACACTTGCATTGAGCATTCTTGTAACCTGAGCACTGCAGTCGCATAACTTCATTTTTGGAGAAATTTTTTATTGTATTTTTGTTAAGGGTTATTATTATATTGCATTGATTGAGATCACGTATTATCTGTGATGTGCGCATCACACCGAATGACTCAATGTTTAATTGTAATATCTGTTGTTGTTGTTGTTGCTGATTGCCCTATAAGTGATTGATCAGTAATTCGTTTACGTCAACGTTTATTTGATTGTTTGCCTCGATTTCGGGAAATTTTATTGTTATACAAATATTGTGATGGATATTCCGTGGAATATTTTTTTCAGCCATTCTTGTTTCCTCTGCAATTTTCATGTGATTGTTCGTTAACAACTTTGAAAAGCGGGATCAGCTGCTAGAAGATAATCTCAATTTTCAGGCTCTCAAATGGAAAAGTTA